CCGAGCCGGTCCCGTTTCATCGCTGTGGCGGCGGCTTGAGCTCGGCCCCGGAGCTCCGCCCCGTCCGATTCCGTTCGGCCCCGCTCGGCTCCGCTCGGCTCCGCCCGGCCCTGCTCGGCCCGACGCTCCGCCCCGTTCCTCCTCGCTCGGCCCCGCTCGGCCCCGCTCGGTTAGCCGGGCCAAGAGGCAGGGCTAGGTGTTGCTCTGCCCGGAGCCTCTCGTCCGCTAGGTTGGACTGTGCTCGTTCGTTCAGTTACACTCCGCCGTTCGGCTCCGCTGGACTCACTGGAAGCGGGGCGGGACGATGAGGGAGGGGCGGGGCGAGTGATGGGGGCGGGGCGAGTGATGGGGGCGAGGAGGGTGAGGAAACATGGATCGGACGGATTGACACCGGGAGGGGAGCGGCGAGGAAAGGGAGGAGGGGAAGGGAGAAGCGTGGCGAGGAGGGGCGGGGCGATGAGGGGAGGAGCGGAGTGAGGAGGGGAGGGGCGGAGTGAGGAGGGCAGGGCAGCACGGCACGACGAGGGCAAGGGGCGGGGCGTACGCGGTTGCCCTGTCACCAACAAGGAGTGATGGCGTCGGTAGCTGCACTTACACTGTCGTGGCAACTGCGGGAGGAGGTTACTTGAGAGTTCCGTCACCCCCACCTCCGCCCCGTCGGCTCCAGGAGCGGAGCGCGCCGCGCATCGGGGGGCAGGGCTTCCGGAAGTGGCCTCACGTCGGTACCGCCTTTTCCGGCGGTCCGGGGTTCGGGCGGCGCCCGCGCCCGCGCGCGCCGCGTTCCGGTATCCGGGCCGCCCGCCCCGCCCCTCGGCCGCCACGGCCTACCCCGCCGGCGCCATGGCCGCTGCGGTCGGGGACGGCGCGGTGAAACCGCTTCAATGCGCCATGAAGCTGGCCAACGGGGCCATCGAGCTGGACACCGGCAACCGGCCCCGGGTGAGTGGCCAACGGGGCCATCGAGCTGGACACCGGCAACCGGCCCCGGGTGAGGCGGGCGGGGCGAGGCGGGGGCGGTCGCCGACCGGCGGTCAGCCCGGTGGGCGTGGACGAGGGCGGGGCTGCGGGGTGGGCGCCTCCAGGCCTCTCCGAAGGCTCCGGTGCGCGGGCTCGGGCTTCGGCCGTGACCTTGGACAGCTCCCGCTGGCTCATGCCCTCAGTTTTCCCGTCTGTGCATTAAGTCGGGAATGTGAGAAGAGGTGTTTTCATTTGTGAAGGGGACTCAGGAGGGTCCGTGAAGCAGCCCTCCAAAGTGTATCTGGCAGAGAATCCCGTGTGTTTGTATAGTTTGGGGGCGGGCCCTGTAGCTTTAGTCAGATTCCCGAAGGGGACGGTATCCATAAGAGGTTAGCTGCGGCTTTCCAGTCGCCTTCAGCGCCTGTTTGGAAGGAAATGCCGGCGGGGGAGGGGTGTGGCTTGTCTCCAAGAACGAGTGTTAATCCTAAGGGTGGCGACCGCGTGGAAAAGCCGGCTGAGTCACTCCGGGCCGCCCGAGGAGGGGAGGAGGCCGCGGGTGCCTCCGAAAGGCATTCCGGTCTTCCATCCGCTGCCTTCCCCAAGTCGGGATCCTAGGGCAGCAAACGCCCCCACAAGTCAGAAATCCTTCCCGGAACCCATTTTATCCTTATCTGAGGTGTAGACTTAAAGGTGGGTAATTTGAGAACCGGGATGCAGCAAAACAAACAAAAAGCAAAGCACCATGCTATGGTTCCAAACGCCCTGAGCTCTGTCAGGGAGCCCTGAACAGGACGGCAGGGTCACCCTCTTGAAAATACTGACATTCTAGTGTCAGGCTGCTGCGTGCCCAGGGAATACTTACTCTGGGGTTCGGGAAAGGAGTTCCCAGAATCCGAGTCAGAAAGTCATTCTGAAATTTACAACACACTCCCTGATTCACCTTCCAAGAAATATTTTTTTAAAGCCACTGAGTGAATGGCCCCTGAGTTACACAGGAAGAGAACTTGTTGCATAGAGTGGAAAATGGCAGCACCTGCCAAGGCTCCTTACCCTGGCCCACTGACAGAGAACCTCCGTTCCTTCCTGTACTGGAGAGAAAGGCAGTGATGCCAGCTTCAAGTCTAGAGAAGAGGGGTACTCTCCATGCCCCAGCAGAGCAGTTACCAGTGAACCGGCTCGGCCACTGCAGGTGTATCTCACAGATAAGCAGGCACCACTGTTCCTGTGTTTCCACAAGGGCACCGAGCAGGCATGATGGAATTATGCGCCTCTACTGGCCTGACCGCTGCCATTTCTCTTCCTTGGGCACAGGAGGCATATACAGAATACCTGAGGAGCGTCCACTACATCTCCCAGGTGCTGCTAGAAGAAGTGGAGACCTCCAAAGGTACAGCTCCTCCCAGGCCGGGCAGACTGTGGACAGCTTAGCCTTTGATGGGTCCCAGGGCCCCAGGCCTGGGTGTGTCCTGTGTCTTGGCTGCCGGGCCATTAGTAGAAGGTGGACGGCTGAGCGCTCAGTAAGCAGGAGCGCAACAGGGAGCAGGAAGGGCCGGCTGCCGTGACTGAGGGGATGGAGATGGGCTGGGACGTGACCAAAGACTGGACGCTGAACCTCAGTCCAGGGAGGAGTGAGCTGCACGATGGTTGAGGGCTGGGGGCAGCATCCCAGCAGAAGGCGCTGCAAAGGCCCTGAGGTGAGAGTGGGTGCCAGACACAAGAAGGGTAGGCAGGCTGGAGAGGGGAAGGTGCAGTTGGGGCCGGCCGGTCCTTCGGATGGGCCTGGGGTTGTTCTGGCACGAGGCGAAGCTCGTGGAGGCTTTGTGGGGAGAGGCTGGCATGGGAGCAGTGAGGACAGCAGTGGTGGGACTGCCTGGAGGTGGAAGGAGTGAAGGGCTTGGGGCATGTTCTCTAAAGATGGGCCTCACCAGACATTCTAAGCGGACAGTGAGCTGCCTGGAGTTGCGGGGGAGGGCCAGGGAGCACAGGAGGCAGTGCGGGAGGTGGCAGGAGCAGACGTGAGGGAGGAATTGAGGTCTCCGTCAGGAGCACAGTCTGCTCGAGGTGTCCAGCAGCCCGACAGCAGTCGGGGAGAGGTGGGAGTCTCCACCCTGGGGAGCTCGGGAGCTCAGCAGAGCTCTGGGCACTGGGAGGAGGGCACGGTGGGAGCAGCCGCGAGGGGTCGTCCTAGAGGAGAGACCTGCGAGGTCAGGGAGCCCTCAGAGAAGGGCAGGACTGAGTGGGTGAGGGCCACTGCAATGGGAGCAACGTGGCTGAACGAGGGTGTGGTGAGGGTCTGGCCGTGACGGGAGCGGGGGTGGATCAGGTCTGGTGGGGTCCAGGGGAGAGTGTCAGGTGGCAGCTCCTACACCATGAGTTTGCTGATAGGAGCGATTCCCAGAGGGAGTGCAGAACAGAAGTCCTCCAGCTGCACCAGGGGTGAGCTTGGACACAGCCAGGGGGCGGGAGATGGGTTTTGAAACTGTCTCTGTGAAACAGCCTTGCTGACTGCAGGGCCCACCTGGAGGAGGGGCTGTAAGTAAAATGAAGCCGTCAGTGAGGAGAAAAGGCCCAGTTAGTTATAGAGAAGGCTCTGATGGTCCAGGCGAGAGGACAGGACAGCCACACACAGGGCCAGGAGGTAAACCCAGGGCAGATGGTCAGAGATGAGGAGGAAGTGGGCTCTCCTTTGTTTCTATCCCAGCAAGAATCTGACTAGTGATAGAGGTGATGGTGACCACCCTTCTTGTCGCTTGCTCCCCAGAAGCTGGGGAAACTGTGACCCCTGACACCTCGAAGATGCTGAAGCTGGCTGAGCAGTGTCTGGAGAGGGCCCAGTCGACAGCTGCCAAGCTTGGTGGGTGTCCGGCAGAAAGCTTTCTTAGGACACCCCCCCCCCTCAAGTCTGCATCTCTCTCTCTCTTTTTTTAAAATTAATTAATTAATTAATTTTTTGGCCGCATTGGGTCTTCATTGCTGTGCGCACGCTTTCTCTAGTTGCAGTGAGTGGGGGCTACTCCTTGTTGCAGTGCGCGGACTTCTCATTGCAGTGGCTTCTCTTGGTTGCGGAGCACAGACTCTAGGCTCACAGGCTCAGTAGTTGTGGCTTGTGGGCCCTAGAGCGCAGGCTCAGTAGTTGTGGCACATGGGTTTAATTGCTCCGCGGCACATGGGATCTTCCCGGACCAGGGCTCGAACCCGTGTCCCCTGCATTGGCAGGCGGATTCTTAACCACTGAGCCACCAGGGAAGTCCCAAGTCTGCATCTCCTTTGTGGAATGTCAGGCCCCTGTGCAGACCCGTGGCTACATATGTCTTACAGGGAAAACATGCCTGAGGCCAGCCATGCCTGTGGCTGCCCCCATCCCCTCTCCTACCAGCCGACACCGCCGGGTGTACTCAGATGAGGGAGGGAAGCTCTCTCCATTTCTGCCGCCTGAGATCTTCCAGAAGCTTCAGGCTGTAGAGTCACAAAGCTCTAAGAAGTAAGATGGGTCAGAACGGAAGGTGGGCTAAGCCTGGGTTTGGAGACAAAGTGAGCTAACTATGGTGGATTTAGTCAAAAGGGATCCCAGAATGGAAATACCTGGTGCCTGGCAGAAACAAATGCAAATTGTTTCTGGAGCAGAGCACCTTCAGCTTTCATAAAATGAGTGGTACATAGTCAAAGATAAGCAAGCACAGAAAGAATCAAGAAACTGTAAACGAGAGGTAGCAGAAACAGACCTGCAAAGTCTTCAGATAGAGTTATGGGACACAGATTATAATACAATCACGCTTTCTGTATTTAGAGAAATAAAAAGCAAGTTTGAAAATACCTGCAGGGAACAAGAAGCTATAAAATCTGACTTATAATAGGGGTCAAATAGAATTTATAATAGGGGTCAAATAAGAACCAAGTAGAAACAGAAATACTGAAATTATTTTTAAACACTAATCAGAAACGACAACAAATTATATTCTCCTGTAAACATACACACATGCACACAAAAAGAAGGGGACAAGTTTAAAAGAGCAGAGTAGACCCAGCTGAAGACAGAATTAGAGAATTGGATAAAAGGTTAAAAGATACCCTGAATGGCTCACACACACAAAAAGACATGCAAGGTCTAAGGGGTTATTGGAATTGCAAAGAAAGATGAGAAAGAAAATGCGAGAGGAGCATTATTTGAGGAGATGAAAGCAATTTTCTAGAACTGGTGAAAGACACTGAGACACAGATGCCAGAATCCCAGCAGGATAAGCAAGAGGATGGGCTCTTCCCGCTGCTGCTGCCGGGCCTTGAGCCACAGCTACACCCTGTCTCTGCAAGTGCAGTTCTGGGGCAGGGCCAGGCACCAGACTTCCATCCCAGTATAGTCTTGTGTCCCCACGACTTACCTCCTCCCACCCATGAAAGCGGGAAGACGTGGGACCATAAGTTTTGATGGTGAGGGGGCTGTTGGTGGCTGTTACCAAGTAGCTGTGAAACACCCCCCACCCCTACCCCTCTTTCATGGGTTGCAAACTAATCTAGCTGTTCGGCTCACATGGTGCCTTCACAGAGTTTCGTGCTGTTAATAAACACATGTGACTGGTATGCATAAAGGTCTGGAATCCAGGCAGTAGGGCCATGTTTCAGGGAGGCAGGTGTCTCCCGCCCACCCCAGACCTCCTCCCTCCTTTACATTCCTGCCTGCCCCCATCACCACCTCCTCACCTTCCGGTCTCAGGGCAGGGCCAGGAAGGGACCTCAGGTGACCAGAGCGTTCCTGGGCTTCCTGGAGCCTGGACAGCAGCTTGTCACCATTCCAGGGAGCTGACACCCTTGGAGGAGGCCTCCCTACAGAATCAGAAGCTGAAGGCTGCCTATGAGGCCCGGATGGCCCGTCTAGACCCCAGCCAGGCCATGCAGAAGACATCCCTGGTGAGTGGAGCCTAGGAGGGTCTGGAGTGAGGGCGGCGGGGGCAGTAGGCCTTATTCCATCCTTCCCATCCTAGACCCTGTCCCTGCAGCGGCAGATGATGGAGAACCTGGTGATCGCTAAAGCCCGGGAGAAGACGGTATCCTTTCCGTCCATCCTTAGTGTGCAGAGGCTTCAGCTGAGGGAGGGGGCAGGGAAGTAAAGATGCCAGGGTTCAGGTGTGGAAACAGAGTTCCTCCAGTTTCGGAGACACTTGTCCTCAGTGGGTGGTTCCTGCCCAGCCCCGCTTCCTCTCGCCTCCTGGCCTTTGCACAGGCCACCCTGTGCCTCCCAGCACCCACAGACTCCTCTCCACCCCTCAGGTCGACTAGGACTTGCCTTCCCTCCCTGAGCGGGCCTGTCCTCTGGCCCAGACCCTCCTCCCACCCATCCCAACGGGCCCCGTGTCCGGCAGGGCGCTGGGACGCTGGGGGGTTCGTGCACGCCGCGTCAGAAGGGCCTTGACTCTGCCGCCCCAGCTGCAGAGGAAGATGGAGGAGCGCCGGCTGCGGCTCCAGGAGGCCGCCAACAGGTGCGTCTCCGCCTTCGGTCCCGGGACTACTGGGGGGGCCAGGTGGGGACTCCCACGCCCGCCTGTCCAGCCCTGAGGCCCCCAGAACTGTCCTTTCTCCCAGGAGGTTCTGCAGCCAGGTTGCCCTGACCCCCGAGGACCGGGAGCAGCGGGCCCTCTACGCCGCCATCCTCGAGTACGAGCAAGACCACGTGAGTGCGCGGAGCGGGGCGGGGTGTCCGCAGGGAGGCCTGGGCCCCTGGGCGCGGCCTTAGCTTGGGAGGAGGGGCTTCCCGCGGGCTCTCCCCCAAGGTCTCCTGTCCTGCAGGACTGGCCAAAGCGCTGGAAGGCCAAGCTCAAGAGGAGCCCAGGGGACCTGTCCCTGGTGACCAGCCTGGTCTCCCACCTGCTCAGGTACCGGCTGTCGGCCCCTCCCCCAGCTGCAGGCTGATGACGGAGAAAAGGATTAAGAAGGAGAGAGGAGGGGCTTCCCTGGTGGTGCAGTGGTTGAGAGTCCGCCTGCCGATGCAGGGGACACGGGTTCGTGCCCGGGTCTGGGAAGATCCCACATGCTGCGGAGTGGCTGGGCCTGTGAGCTATGGCTGCTGAGCCTGCGCGTCCGGAGCCTGTGCTCCGCAACGGGAGGGGCCACAACAGTGAGAGGCCTGCGTACCAAAAAAATAAAATAAGGAGAGAGGAGCGAGGCAGTCTGGGGTGACCGCACGGGCAGCAGGCCACGCTGGCTCTCTCGGAGGCCCCCGCCTGTGACCCCGGGGCCTCCTGTCCGCGGATGGCCTTTCACGGGCCTCCTGGCTTCTCAGAGGGGCGGGACAGGCCTTACCAAAAACATTCAGCCGCGAGGACTAGTCCATGCGTCCCTTCTCCAAAATCCCTCACAGCGGGGCCACGTGGCCATTGGGTGGGGGTCGGGTAAGGGCCTCGCAGGGCCGGCGGGCCTTCTCAGCCCCTGGGTCACCCAGCGAGGGGACGGCGGCCCCAAGCCCGACGGGGC